AAAAAAAAAAAAACAAAAAACAAAATCTATCCATCATCTCTCTCTCTCCTTCTCTAATCTATCATCTAACTTCTATTGGAAGCATGTCACATTTATATTTTAATATTTCCTTCATGCCTTTGATAAAAATTACATATTTTGTGGCTAAAGTCTTTGCATAAAATATTCTTTCAACTATTAATATTTTCAAATTATTAGAAGGCTCTTATAAATCTCTCCTCCACGATGAACTAATTGAAGATGTTTATAAAACACAAATGTATGTAAAATTCCATAATCTTACCTTTGTTGTTGTTGTTATTCACAAAATTATCATGGTCCTGAATTCCTATTAATTATGCATTGATTTTTTTTCCTGATGACTTATGTATTTTCTTTGACAGCGTTTATACACAGAAGCCTGGGACAAAGACAAGACCCAGATCCACATAATGCCAGACACACCCGAAATCATGCTGGCAAGAATGAACAAGATAAACTACAGTGAGGTGAGAGCAGATGCTCATTCCTCCACATTTGCACAGTTTTATATTTCAATTATTTCAATGGTGACATAATAGTAAATGGCAGCTTTATAAGGAATCTTTTTTTTTCTTTATATAAATACCAACTTTAACATTTCTTTATCACAATCATAAATGGTCTGTGTTAATAAGAATTATAATTTGGGGAGTACAGATTACAAACATAATTAGTTCAAAGAGATTAGTGGAAAAGAGATTAAATATACCATGTTCTTTCATTGGTTTTTAGTGAAGAAATTAGCAATAAACTGAATACATATGTATGTCATCTTAATATTAAAGCAAAGCTTTAGTAAATTTTCCATGTATGGGTATTGTACTTAAGTTACAGTTTAGGGAAACATTTTAAGGTGTGTGTGTGTGTGTGTGTGTGTGTGTGTGTGTGTGTGTGTGTGTGTTGGTCCTGCAGCTAGAACTCGGGGCCTGGATACTGTCCTTGAGTTATTTTGCTCAAGGCTAATACTGTACCACTTAGCTACACCTCCACTCTAGCTCTTTGGTGGTCTATTAGAGATAAGAATCTCATTGAATTTCCTGCTTTGGCTGGCTTTGAACTGTAATTCTCAGATCTCAGCCTCCTGGGAAAATTTAACATTTTAATATATAACATTAAAGGACTAAAATCACAATATTACCAAATAACACAGAGAGAGACAGAGATTTTGAGAATCTTTGTGTACATATTAACAAGCCCATTTCCTTTTCATTTCTGATGAGCACAGGGCCATCTTGGATTTCAGAATCCCAGATGCTGGAAGTGGCGCTGTGGCTCAAGTAGTAGAGGGCTTGCCTTCAGCTGAAGAGCTGAGGGGACAGTTCCCAGGCCCAGAGTTCAAACCCCATGACCGACAAAAACAAAAACAAAAAACAGAATCCCAGATGCTTAGGCAAAACGGTCACCCTCCCTTCCAGGACTGGAGATCTCACCCAACAGGTTGTCAGTCTACTTAGGATTTCCCAAAGATTAGAAGGTTTATCATATGAATCAGCCCATTTTTTTGGTGGAAAATCCCATTCAGATGTGCTTTTAAAAATTATTGTTATTGTAAAGGTGATGTACAGAGTGGTTATGGCTACATAAATCAGATAAAGAATATGTTTATTTTTGAACACTTTCACCCTTTCCTTCCTGCTCTGTTTTTCCCTCCTGTCCCACAAGTTGTATAGTTCCTTTTCAACATAGTGTCTAGTGAATATCACCGCTTCATATATCAAACCACTTTGCTCTCTGCAAATGCAGGAAATCCTCAGAGGCTAGCAGAAATGATCTGTGCCCATCCACAGAGCGAGGCTAGCAAGGTATCCTCCTCTATTCCCTCATTCCAAGTTCTCTTCATAGTCCTAAGTGTTCCTGGAAATTCCTTATGTGTTATCCTTGGTAAAATGTGACTCAAAACCAAACAAAATACTGGGAGTGAGGAATACCATTGTAGAATAGAGTGAACTATTCTATTTCATCTTCTGGATATTTGACATTTGTTTCTACACTCTAGGGTACATTGGCGATTATGTCACTACTGGTGCATGTGAACTTGGGATCAACCAACACTACAAGACATTTTACATGGGCTAATGCTGCATTTCTTCTACCTCACATTTGTACACTTAGTCATTTAAATCTCAGCTCCAAGACTAATATTTCCCTCTATGTAATTTCTTTTTTAAATTGAGGCTATAAGATTAAATTTCTGATAGCAAAAAAATAGAATATTATACTTCTGCTTATATAAAATATACTTGATACTTAATATACTTCAGATATAATATACAGGATTTAGATTCAGTAGCCACCATTTAAATGATTTTATTCTGGAAATGCAGATTTGTGTATCTAATTCTTATCACCAAAAACTAAAAACATCAGGCTCCTTTCTCACATCAGAAAGCACTGAACTTTTAGCCTAACCCTTATTAGAAGTTCTTATTTTGTTTGTTGTGGTAGTGGGGCCTTGTGGTTGCTACCAACTGAGCTATATCTCTAGCCAAGAAGTTTTCAATTTTTACAGGAAAACATACATTGCATTCTGACATTACGAATGTCAGGAGATCAGGAATTTCTATGAGTTACCACTTAGCATTTCTGAAAAGCTCCAAGACTTTTTGTATGGCTGCTGGTTCAAAGAAGCCCAGGGAAAATTCCCCTGATTGAGTGCTTATCCTTGCTTGGTCTCTTTGCCTGTTTATTCTCAATCAGTTAAACTCTTTGTATTTCTACCTCATTTAAGACAAGATGATACAATGTTAATTTATTATAACACTCTAAGATTTGTGTGTGTACCTGTATTAGGACTCAACCCTGGGTTCTCATATCCTTGCTTAACTATTTAATTCAAAGCTGACTTCCTATCACTTGAGCCACACTTTTACTACCGACTTTTGCTAAATAATTGGCAATAGGAATCTCTTGGCTTTGTCCTCCCCACCTTGATCCTTAGATTTCAGCCTCCTGAATAGCTATAGAAGTAAGCATCAGAGTTTTTATATTTCATAGTCCAACCTCTGATTTTTTTGGTTCATTCCTGGCACTTTTCCTGGGGGCTTTATGCCCCTCTTTCATTACTTCAATTCATTCACTCCCAGTGAATTAAGTTTTCTTTCCCCTGCCATTGTGGTTTATAGAAACCTGCCTCATCATCAAGATACAACTCAAAACTCACCCTTCTTCAGGAACTTCCTGATTCTTAGTTCATAATAAGTGACCACTTCCTGGAGCTCTTTGTTAGTGTTATTGCTAAAATACCTCTGTGCTAGATTTCTCACTGGTTGGTGCCATCCTAGATTATTGGTCTCTTACCAATTCTCCAGAAGTGTCAAAGCTGAGAGAGCCCTCATTTTCGTATTAGATGTCCAGAACAGCCATGGGCACAGAGTCAGCATGGCATAGATTGAATTAAATTAATTCCCACAAACAAGAGTTCATTTAAATTTTCCTACCTTAGGCCTGTGAGTTTTGATAGCCTAATACATTTGTATTATGCTATATGCATATAGGTAGTTTGATATAAATTTGAGAATAAAAATCAGATATAGTATCGATAATAGTAGTCACAAAAATAAGAGTATTACAGGTTTTATCTGTGGAGAATTTTGTGATTTATTTCAATGGGCTATCAATTTTTGGATGTGAATATCAACATCTGATTTTTTTCTCTTTTCTTCTTTCTTTTTGCTGTTGGCCTAAATTTAGAGTCTGTATAAACTTGCCAACGAAGAAGCAAAGAAGAAAGGCTATGACTTACGGAGCGATGCCATCCCCATTGTGGCAGCCAAGGCCTCCAGAGATATCGCCAGTGACGTGAGTTCTAGTCCCTCTGTTCAATCGATCTCACATGCAATTTTAAGTGATCAACATTATTCAAAAGAAATTTCCTTTGAAAATATATCAGGGATTAGAAATGGAAGATGTAATGTTTCTGAAAGAGGTTTGTAACCTGTAGAACACAGGATCTTCTATGCAAACTGTTCTACCAAGAACTGAGAAGGATGCATTCATGTATGTCCACTACAACACAGCTGCAGATGTGGAAATGTCTACATAAAAGTGGTCACTGGGCTTACAGAAAGCAAAATGCACATGCTTAGATTCTCAGTGAGATCGGGATCTGGCTTTATGTAGCATGTTAATAGGTAAATACTGCATATGATACTTATTATAATTCATCTTGTAAGATTATGATGGGAAGACCATGGGTCAGTACTAGAGAAAGGCTAATGACACAAGCTTACATACTTAGCAGTAGCTCCTAGCCAAGAAGCCCTACTTCTCACTTAGAACCAGTGTGCTCACTTGGTACTTCTAGAATGTGTGAGGCACAGACCACTGTTATACAGATGAAGGCATACTATCCAGGAATATGATGAGACTCTGTTCTCCATGTTGAAATAACACATTAGCAGCTCACTTCAGGTTGGCAGTGGTGGACTCTGACACCCCAGAAAATGGATTTTTAGTAATTATAGCAAATGGTGGAATACTAACAATTGAGAAAGATTCAGAACTCTTTATGAAGCCCTCCTCCATCTTGCTTATTCAAGTTAGTGCTTATTACCGAAAGCTAAACTCAGATGAAAGATAGGATAATTTTTTTATAAGATGTTTGGTCTCTAAAAGTTTAGAATAAAGCTTCTCTGGTGAATTTTCTCTTCAGTACAAATATAAAGATGGTTACCGCAAGCAACTAGGCCACCACATTGGAGCTCGGGACATTAAAGATGACCCCAAGATGATGTGGTCCATG